CGTGTGGACGTATGATGGTCTCGCCGGTGGGTTGTACCCCGGGAGTTGATACACCACCCAATGGGCTCACTCAAAGCGAACGCCAGCGGAGATCCTACACTGGCAGGTGGGAGAAACGTGGCACACAAATCTGAGGAACCGATGGGCCGTCACACGGGCGGAAAGGCAACGCATAGAGCCTTTGCCCACCAACCCTGAGGCCCAGCCCCGCACCCTCGTCCTCAAGGGAACGTGTGGTTCACACAGTGTCTGAGTAAGGAGTCCCGATACCAGAGCTCGCAAGGCCGCTGTGCCGTATGAACTGATGGTGTGTCGATAGATGAGCGAACGCGAAGCGCCTCGTACGGAGCAATGTAGGTACGTACACGCCCATAACTGCATTGGCAGACGAACTCCATTGGGCCAGCTTCAACTGTCATGTCTCCAGCGGCTAACTTGTCTTGCTTGTCTCATTCTTTTCCCTTCTAGGTTGAGAGATATGCACGCCTAGACATGGCGCCGCCGGATTCCCTTCATCGAACCTCCACGTGGGACGACTAACAGAAACCCACTCTTTTGCGTTTAATGATGATGTGCAAGCTGCCGCATCCCGGAGAGAGCGGGTTGCAAGGGCCGGCCTGCAATGCAGATTGGGGTCTTTTGAAGCGCGAGCAAGGTTCTGTGAGGCGTTTGAGTAGTACTCCGTAGGTATTCGGAATAAACAGAGCGGGCAATTCCAGTACCCGTACAACAACAGACCGAAGCTGCGAGGTTCTTGGCGGAGATTATCTAACATTGCTGAGAGCCTGACGCTCTGAACATGAGCTGTGCGATGTAAAGTCTTGACGCTTGCTGGTCTACGGATACTGTGTGGTGGTCTTTCGCATCTCTTTCTTATGGAGTGCTCCTCCTAGGTTAGTGGATGTTCTTCTGGGGACTTGACTCGAATGTCGATGCGTTCTGTTCTGTGTGGAAATAAAAAATGGATAGGGTGCACCGCAAGGGAGCTAGGCATCTAAGAATTCGGTCTTGAGTCTTGCTGTGTGGCTGAGCCTTCGACTTTGATAATGCTGAGCAGACGCGATCCCTGTAGTAAAAGGTCGAACGGCTGCAGAGATGATCAAAGAATCAACTTGAGCGGAGTATCGCAATTCCTCATATGTTCCATGCGTTATTTGCTTGCCCCTTGAAGTGAATCCAGTGATCGGTATTGCCTAGAAGTCAATGTAAATGTAATCTCAAGCATATTTGGGGCCGCAAATGGGTGATGCATTTGAGTCAGTCAAGACATGGGATTTCGTAAGGGACGGCCGCCGTCTGGGAAAGGGTAGTTGAATGGTGATTATCCCTATGTCCGGAAAGATGTCCCGTTGCAAGGCCATTACGGATACTGTATCGCACCGTAATTACCATGGCCTTTCGATTGGGAGGTGTCTCGCTCGGTTGAGTTGTTCTTCCCATCGCGCGTCGCTGAGCGGGATTGAACTGTTAGCATCGTTTACTTGACTGCATTACCATGCTGTCAGTTATGCTCATGGCTTGCCACACAGGCGGGAAAGCCGCCGCCAGTCTGCAATTCTTTAAAGGTTGATCCGGCGTGAGTTTCACAATGAAGGGCAATGTGAGATCGGCGCAGCTGTGACAAGCGCTGTCCATTAGCCGTGGTGCCATGGGTATTGAACGATTCTTTTGCCGAAAGTATCCCACAAGGCTCTTGCTAGTTCCATGTGGGGGTTCCGACGCAAAGTATCGTAAAACTCGGGCCACCTGAGCATGGCAGGCCGCTGCAGTGCTGCACTCGATCGTGGTTCGTGATTGATCCCAAAATTCTGGCAAGGCTGGTTGAGCAAGGAGCTGTAGACAAGGTTCCCTCTAGCCAGCACAGGGCAGTTCCCTTCCCGACTGAGCATCTTTGGTAGACAAATGTGCTGCCAACGAGACTTGTCCAGGTAAGTGCTCTTGGTGGAACTCCAAGATCTTGGACCATGTAATCCAAACGGGAATACCGAGATAGGGGTTCGTCAACAAGCAGGCAAGCCCCGAGCTCTTTCTTTATTTTGGCGAATACTGTCGATCATTTCATTCCTTTCCTCGCGGCGATTGTCTGAGTCAAGGTATCGGAGCCTCGAAGGGCAGCGCAGAAAAGAGGAGGGTTCTTAGCGGGCCCGACGATTTGGCTGACTGAAGGCTCAACAACATGGCTGATTCTATTGGTAGACCCTTGTAGGCCAAGCGGGTAGGCAAACAAATGCCGTGCGGTGATGAATAGGTGTTGACCGATTGCTGTCGGATTGGTGGCTTTGTGCCCTTGGGGTGAGGACGCGACAGGGCCACGTCCGATTTAAGAACAAGACGTCAAATAGTGTCAAATGGAAGAGTGTTGATTATCGTGTCGTGTGTGTGTAGTGCGGCTGCAAAGAAGGCGAAGAAGTAACGATCGACGACAAGCCTCCGGGCGGGAGGGATTGCGGCAATGAAGAGGGGGAACTCTCATCCGGGCTGCGTTGCTTCAAGCTCGAGTGCCCGTATACACGGTGGTATGCAGAACACGGAGTACTTGGTACAGATAGGTTCTCGGTGTGTATTCGCAGAGGCCAGGATGATGAGCTGTGAAAAGTGGCGCCGATGCCACGACGGAAACTGACAGGGACTGGGGATGGCGAAAAGGGTGCCTGGCCGTCAGATAAAGTGCAAAGATGGTGTTGTAGCGGAGCATGAGGTTGGATGTGTCCGCACGGTAAGGTTGGGCGGCTTCGTGAGGATGGATGAACCTAGACATTTGCTGGAAGGAGCGAGCCTGCGAGGGCAGGTACGGGTACTTCCTCATGCTGTCAACGACCTTTGTGTGGGGAGATGACGGCAGGAAATTCGACGTCAAGTACGGATAGCTCAGAAGTGAGTGGTCAAAACACTTACAATATCCGTAGACCTCAAGTAGACAAATACGGCCCGATGATCACTGCGGTAGGCACTTTGGCTCGCGGACGAATATGACCAAGGCATGATTAGCGTTGCATGTGCAGAGTATCTATTCTGTACGGGTACCGTGCCAGAAACGTACTCGTACCTATTCAGCACAAAATGCACGTGGTCATCGGGATATCGCACATGGGATCCAGAGGAGCGATGGCACGATGGAGAACGGAATAGACAAGTTTGCTGCCGGTTGGCTAGCATAGCTCATTACATAAGATTTGGGGAGAGGAGGAGGCTGTGCAGCAGATCAGATCAGCCACTTGTCACTTTTACCTTGACACCCGAGACGGGACAATGCGTGACGGCTATCCCTAAGCCCACGCACCTTGCAGGAGCCAGAGGAGGTGCGTGCCCTGGAGTTGCGAGGCTGACTAAGGGAGCTGTCCGAGGCGCTTTGTCCAGAAACTGCTCAGTGTCGTGGAAGCTCACAAGCTTGAAGCAGCAAGCTGAAGCCTCTGTGCCCGCCCTTCCTCCCCACACCCACACACTCTCCCTCCGTGCCTGCCGAACCCACCATTCTCCCCACCGTCGTTCGCCTTGCGCTTCGTATCGTCGGTACGTACTTTTTGCCCTTGTGATGGGCGTTCTCGACAAGCTGCTCCAATCAGCCAGGCTTTCACACACTGTTTACACAATACATTGCTGCATGCGGTGTTTCCAAGCCTCAAAAGCTTCCCTTACTTGAGGTACCTCGGATATTAACCATCAGGCGCAAACAAGACGGACTGCGTCGCACTTGGCGCTGTGAAATAAGTCGCCAAGCTCGAGTCTACACTGACGTGAAGACGACCGCCGTTTCTCCAGTTGGGCTAACGTACGTAGTCGGCCAGTTTGATCAAGCGGACCATATTGTGCCTTGGCGAAGGAGAGAAAAGAAAGCGAGCAACAAGAAAGAGACGGAAAGAAAAACTAAACCAGTTTCCCCCACTCGGCACGAGGCTCCCTAGTCAGTACGGTCGGTACCTGGAGCCAGGCGCCATCTCTCAACACACACAGGACCACGCCTCTTGCACTATCCCAACGCAGCCGCCTCTAGACCCAGCCACCGAGGCGCGGACATGACCAGTTCCGGGACACGGCCTGTTGACCTGTACAGCTCACAGAAAGAATACTCAGCGACGGTAGTAGCCTAGTGTCTCAACTTCCAAGTCTACTCGACGGTCTAGCCCTCTTCTGTCACTGGCTGCGGGAAGGGAAAAGGACTAAGAAAACGGTACCCAGACCTATTGTGTGTATCCATATACACTGTACAGGCGAGAGCCCTCGAAAAAAGACAGAGACACTTGGCCAATATTCGCAAGACCTGTCGAGCGATTTGGAAACACCGAATCAAACGTGGGGTATCTTATTGTCTTGCATGCCGCGACAGACGAAGACGCCAACACTAAAGACCCTTTGGGTGGACTTCGACATACCGTGATACCTCCACTTGCTATAGAGCTCTCGCTCAACTTCACTCCTTGGCTACTGCTGGTCACTTTTCCCTCAGATACCTAGTGTTTACCTACCTTGCTCTTGATCTGCAGACACTGTGCCCTCAGAGGTTTAGACACGAATGTTGGAGTCCTGACGGAAAGTGCGAAGCAGACCTGGAAGGAAGTGGAAGGTATGCGAAATTGCCCGGGAAGGCTCCATGGACTAACGACGGGAGCATTCTTGCCTGATCTTGGACAAACGGTGCTGCATCCCCCTACCTTAGAGCCAATACCCTATTTTCTCACACGCTCACACACACACACATCACCAAAGGATATTGGTAAAAAGAAAAACAACACTAAGGTTGCTCACCCGTCGTGTTAGAATCCGAAATAACTAGCATCCAAGCACAAAATCTGTACCCGTACAGACCATATCAACATTGCTCGCGACGGTCTTTGGTGGAGCAGCCTCTGTTTCTGACTTCCTACACTACAGTCCCCGAGCAAAGAACAGACGATGCAATCCCATATGACCTGCCAAGCTGGCTACGGATGGTGATTGCCACGTTGGTGCCCAGTATCCGACACCATCACCGTCTACCTTGCATCACCACATGTTGCTTTACCATGGTTCGGCAAAACCAAAAAAACGAAACAGACAACCCCGAGACACGGATGTCAGGGTTCTGGCTCCAAAGATCCGGGTCCCTCCTTGCCTCCCTCTCGTGCCGCTTCTTCACGGACCTGATCTCGGCTGGATCTGACCAAGAACGATTTCTCCCCCGGCCCATCGTTTTCATGCTTGGACGGCCGACGGAGGTGCGCTCTGCTTACGTCTATCCACCGCGCTTGGCCGACTAGTCCTAGGTCGGGAACCTTTGTCGGTGGTGGTACGGCATCCTCACAGGCGCTGTACCGCATGGAATGCACATGGGACCGATCGGCTCAAACCCAGTCGCCTGGAATATTGACATGGCGGGATGGATCCGTCATCCACGAATGGACGTGCACATCCCGCATCGCCCATCGCCCATCGCCCATCGCCCGTCGCAAACGGTGCCGCTCCCAGCTTGTTCCCAGCCCGTTACGCACGAGGCAAGCATGGCAAGCAACCACCTCGAGGCCCGTCTTGATATGCTATGGCCGCTACCAGCTCCGCACGCGGTAGCCATGCTATGTCAGGCCCTCCTGATGGTGCCCACCTTCACCACCACCTGCCCTACAGTGCCTCCCACCAAAGGGCAGTCCGTCCACTGCTGTTCTCTCTTCATTTACAGATACACAACGGAGTACGGCTACCAACTTGAGGCTTGAGTTTCGAGGACTGACACCCTGGTCTGACCACTGGACCATCTTTAGATTCGATGCTGGCTCTGTCACTGTGGCCGCCGTCCAACCGGGATGACAAGAAACGCCGTCCTCTTCCGTCTCGTCCCCGGGACCGGGGGCAAGCCCTGTTGGCTGGTGGCCCTGTTCTCCTACGACTACTTAACCCAAATCCCTTCAGTCAGGATACGGGTTTGTTGATGAGGGGACCCTGGGCCTAAGATTTCAAAACCCCATCGGCGTCGGTGCTGCGTGTATCCGCAATTCACGATGAAGTCGGCATTCAGGATATCAATTGCTACACACGCATGCCTGCACGGAATGACCATCGCACCAATACCATGACGCAGCGCAACGCACTACTGTCATTAGCAGCCTATTATACCCATGTATACATACCTGCATTTCACAAGCGGGCTCAGGCACCAAGGACAAGCAAATACATGGATCGCAGCAGCTCGTCAATTATTGCACATTGCTGCAAAGAACACCTCGACCGAAAATTGACACCATGTTGAGTTAAAGTCGTCACATATAGGGCAGCATCAGGCCTCGGTCATTGTTGATACCGCTGGAATTCTCGGCCGGCCCCTTGACCGCTGTGCCTAGAATGGCATCCCAAGTTCCTCAACCGGGTTGCCAAGGTTCTTCGACAAAAGTACGACGGCCTACAGATACCTGTCCTGGTACTGGCGATCATGGCATGGCTGCGAACAACCCCGACGTTGAAGTCTGATGCAGGGACCGGACCGGATTCCGAGTCCGAAGCGCAAGAGCGAGGCCTAGATGACGGTGATGGCGTTTGTTGCGCACTGTTGGAATGCCAATACGATCGGTCCGGCCTTGTTCACTTTTTTTTTTCCATCTTGATGGGCCTTTTCTCGCAGTCACGCAGACCAGGCCCGCCAAGCCTCTCAAGTTTCTTCTGGCCCCCGCCAGTTCGCAAGCCCCGAACTGGGTGGCATTTGGTCTCGATCATTGTGAGACGAAACATGAAAACAGCGGGCCCGTCATCAGATCCGCCGTCATTTTCGATCCCTTTTGCTGTTGGGCTCTCCTTTCCTGCAAATACCTATTTTGCGCTGCCCGAGACCCGTCTTTGGGGCGGCCTGATCTGACCAACATACCGGCGTGATCTGGCTAGCCATGGCATCGACGGCATGGCATGGTGCGGCCCTGGCACTGTTGTTTCTTCAGAGCACAGTCGTCATTTCAACCGTTTACCGATAGCGTCACACGCTCAAGTACGCATACGCACATTGCGATATGGCCATTGCGGCTGGCGCTGTCATCCTGCTGTACTCAATGCAGCATTAATCCTCATGATGCGCAGCTCTATGGTCCGCTTTGAGCGTGCTAGAAGGGAGAAGAATGCCACTGCCAAAGATCTTCATAACGGCGAACAGCAACACAAGACTGTGAAATTGCAGGGCACAAATTGGAAGGGGCAGAGTAAGGTACGGACCCGGAGCCCTGTATGATGCCCCAGGGTCCACTAAACCGTCGAGCAGTTGAACAGACGGGAGGCTTTTGTCCAGCTACTTACACTTGGACGACAAATGTACGCGGATGCATACGCACACGCACACCACATAGAGCTATTAGCAAAAACCTTCCCCAGGATGCCACACGACAAACAGATGCTCGATGCATGTGAGGGCCGCGACCCCACTTCCATCGGAGACGTCCTCCCCCTCGAGCTTCCCAGCGTGGTATGGGACATCCACGAGGGCGTGCGGCGGACGGCGTGTGTATGGGTACATTAGCAAGGCCATATGGCTTGCCATGCTGGTATCAGGACAGGGATGGCTGCCTTGGGGCTGGACAAACATCACAAGTACTCGCTACCGCCGAGTCCGGGAAATAAGAAACGTGAACAGCGCCCATGCGTGCCCAAAAACCCCCGAGCAGGGTTCGGCTGTGCCGCCACGTCGTCCACCGTGGCGCCGTGCGGCATGGTTATGGCAGAGAGGTGGACGGGGTGACACCCCCAAGGCACGTCCAGAGAAAAGTGAGTCTTGAATACCTGAGGGCAAAGTACTTTTCTCGTCTGCCTCATCGCGAACGCCAGACCCCCCCCCCCTATGCGATGCTCTGGGTCTACCTCGGAGGCGTGAGCTATCTGGGTAGCAGCCAGCGACATCGACTGGCACGCCGCAGAAGGCATGGATACCTGCACTCGATCGGGTTACTTGCACCTTATTCCAGGTGGCTCTGCCCGCCCAGAGTAGCGCTACAATACGTTGGCATACCTTATTTTCGAGCGGGCAGGCCACAGCTGCGGAAAGCGAAGGCAAAGATGCAGGAATAAGTACCTATCCGTACCTACCATAAGGTATGTAGCAGCAACGATTCTACTTTTGAGACTCAACGAGAGGTTGGAGACGGCGGCTTTCATGATAACAATGTCAGAGCCGTATGGGCGCCAGGGCAAGCCGCAAATGATTCAGTACCTACCCACCTTTTTCTCTGTCATTTATTCCGCTGTCTATTTTTTCCTCCTTGGCGGAGAGAAGAGGGGTGCTCATGTGTGGTTTTTGCCGCTGCTGGGCAGAAATACTTACGGATATAGACACAGAGACAGAGAGGTAGCTAGCTACCTGAGCGGTACTCTGTACTGTACAATATACCTCGCTTTGTGCGTACTTATCTAGGCACTGGGTAGATGGTAGTAGCGAAATTCAAGCAGTGCCGTTCGCTCTCTTTCCAGCAGCAGCAGCGACACTTCATCCAAGTCGCTATGGATGCGAAAGACTAAGAAGAAAAAGCACTGGGGTGAAGAGAGAGCGAGGGAGAGAGCTTGAGGGGAGAGAAGAGAGAAGGAAACGGGAGACAGTGTCTGTACACACAGAAACAGAGGCAGACAGACAAGACAGAAAGAGGAGCGAGAGACTTTGATTTAGCTTCACTCCCCCCTCCCCTGTACCCAGAAACCCTGTCTTGTCTTGCCCTGTCCCGGGCTTGTCCTATCCTGTCCTATCCTGTCCTGTCCTATCCTGTCCTATCCTGTCCTGTCCTATCCTGTCCTGTCCTATCCTGTGCATCCTCTGTTCTTCTCCTCCCCTCCTACCCCGGTTCCAAGGCCGCCGCCTGTCGCTGCTTCTCTCTTTTTTTTTTTTCTCTCGCAGTCTGGATCCCAGCTTTCTTTCTTCCGGGTTGAGTCTCCTTCTGCTCGTCTGCTCAGGCCAACAAGTCACCCACCCACCCTGCCTACCTAGCGCTCCCGCCTGCTCAATTCCATCTTATCCCCTCCACCCCCAGCTACCGTCTTCCCAATCTTGAAACTGCCTGCTTCGATACGTCTTTCTCCTCCACTCGCCTCTACCTCTCTCTCTCTACCTACTGTACGCCGGCCGACCTTCGAGTTTACTAGACCTCTCCTCCTTGCTCCTCGGCCTCGTCTTTATTCAATCCTCTCCATCCCACCCTCACCGCGCCTTTCTTCCCCCTCTCATCAACACCTTCCGTTCGTTATCCAAACAATCCCACCAATCGAGCAGCCTGCGCTCTCAGACGCCTACAGAGAGGCTGCTGCTTTCGCATGTCCAGCGCAACTCGACCCCGGACAATCTAATTGTTCGCCACGTTTTCGCTATACACTGGGCTCTGCCTACTTTATCACCCTTCCTGTGCCTCGCTTCGCTTCGCCTCGCTCTGGCCACTCTTTAACTTGACCTCCATTTCGACCACCGAACTCGATCCAAGTATATCACGACGACTATTGGTCTCGCTTCATTTGCCATCATACCAGAGATAGTCATCGAAATACAACATGGACGGACAGCGACCAGCTTCACAGAAGCTTCCTGCGGGATTAGCAGGGGTACTGAACCCAGACGAAAACCGCGACTCGGCTTATTATTCGAGTACAGATGCCTCAAGCAAGCGTACGTTGGACATAAAAAGATAGAAACGCTCGCGTTGGAGGGGGCGCAACTAACGCTTTTTTCTCCCATAGATAACTCTGCGGCATCAGGCGTTGTGCACCATGCCCTCAGCCCCACGGGGTCGGGCTACCAATCTTCGCTGGCAGACAAGACACCTTCGCCTGTCACGGCTAACATGATCCCTCAGCTGGTGTCGCCTGGGCAGAGCAACATGAGCGTCGCCGCCATGGTATCGCCAACAACCCCCGGCAGTGCTGACCCGCGTCGATTCGAGCGCCCGACATCCCTGGATTCTGGAGTGGTTCACGACATCATGGGGCCTGGTTCTCGAAGAGAGAGTGTGGACAGCCGGATAAATCAGGGTTTTCACGACATGAGATTGGGCGGGAACTCGCCCTACGCTAGTCACAACCAGTCGACTACTTCAATTCAGAATACTCTCAACCAGCAGCGCAACCCTCGCCCCGGTTTGGACAATCTTTCCGTACACCGTATCTCCAATGGATACCAGCCCAGCAGCGACAGGAACCCCGAGCACCCAAAGATCATCCGGACCGCACCGGCCATCACAGGCCCCGCGACGAGCAACATCGCCCGAGCTGCGGAGCCCACCAAGGGTCAGGCGTGGGCTTTCCCAGAGGAAGAGATACAACGAATCAGCCACCACGAGCAATACTTGGACTCTAGACGTAGCAGTATCGCCGAGTCCATAGCTAGTAGCCAGTTCACCACGGAATCGAGACTACCGCCTGGCCAAAGACGTTTGGACGAGCCTGCCGACTTCAACAACCGTCTATCAAGCACCTCTTCCGACTTCCCTCCGGTTCATCACCACTCGTTGCAGCACAAGCAAATTGGGGATTTGCGCGACGACGACGCAGCCTCGCGGACGGGCTCACAACCCTACAGCCGCACGCCCGAGCTGCGTAAGAGTCACAAGTTGGCGGAACGCAAGAGAAGGACTGAGATGAAGGAATTGTTCGATCAACTGCGTGACTTGATGCCACAGGAACGAGGTTCAAAAGCCTCCAAGTGGGAAATTCTTACCAAAGGTTCGTCACATGCAACCGTATCGTTTTTGGAGCAGATACTGATCTGAAATAGCCATTTCCGAGCATCAACGAATGGCAGACGTCATGCGCATGGTGCAGTCGCAAAACACAACGTTGGCTCAGGAAAACGACGGTCTCCGACAAGACAACCACAACTTGCGTGTAGACATTCAGCGTCTCCAGAATGAGTTGCACAACACGAGGCTACAGCAATCCCCCACAGGCCAGGCGCCGCCTCAATCTCAAGTCCCTCCCCCCCAAGCGGTAGGGTATCAGGCGGATCCTTACGCGGCTCGCCGTGAGTTGCCGCCAATCCGAGGGCTAAACGGCAACATGCCCAACCCCGACTCCATGACGGGCGTCCAGTATGAGGCTCCCAGAGTTAACGGCTATCGTCCCGAGAGGTACTGAGCCCGTATTAAAGTCTGAAGAGGCAAGGAAGAATCAACCGTCATCATGTACATGACCATATCATGCGACGCAGCGTGCCCCAGGCACTCGCCGCGGCACACACTCGTGGGCCAACAAGCCGCTCATGCAGCAACCCCGTAGGCAAAGAGCCTGCAGGATCAACCTACCTATACCCAAACACATGTTCGCGGCCTCACATGGAGGTCTGCGTGTTCTATTACAGTTCTGTGCCTCTGTTGGAATGCGTTATGCTCCACAATGCCATTTGGCGGGCTGTTTGTTTGTTTCTTTTTGTGTCGAATGTATCGATACCTGAGTGTGCCACTGGCTCACAGGTTCCGTTGAGATCGGCTCCTCCAGTTCATTACTGATACCGGGGGACGACAATATACCCTCGTCCTTGGTCAGTAGATAAAAAAAGCAAGACGGCGTCCTATGTTTCATCTGTTTTGGGGGGTGGGTGGGCAAGGCTCAAGAAGGCCGAGGCGGGAACGGTACGGAGAGCCAGGTGTATATACCTACGCGTTGGTCAATGGGACGGCGATGCGGGCATCTAGGGTGCATGCTGTGTGGTCCATTGCTGTACTCCGGCAAGAAAAAAAAATTATATAGGGAAACTCGGTGGCAGGTTCAATGACTGATGGAGATTATGGATCATCCCTCTCCTATTTGGTCAGGTGGGGGATACCGAAGGGAAACCAGCGTTTGAATTTGTTTTCCCAGAGACGAGCTTAGGTCTCTCCCTGGAAGCGAGTGGCCATGGAAGCTACCAATCACAATCTCTTCCCAGGCGGGGTGGGGGATAACTGCGAATATCAGTTCTGTTGCAATATCATAATCTTGGACCGACTCATTGTATGAATGAATGGCGAAGACGAAAAGTTAAGGTTGACATGCGTTAACAAGGAGGCATGATGCGCCGCTTGGCCAAGGTTCCATAGCTGGACTCCAAGTGGGTACTCGGCCGAAATACGCTAGGTCTCAATGAGGCTAGCGTATCTTATCGCCGCGACCCTCGACACGGTAATCCCAAAATTTCTCGTTCGCCCATGGAAATCTCAATCTGCACACCACATCATCTCGCCCTTCACCCTTTCCGTCTCACTCTCTTAATCTATCAATCCGTCTACCATTCTCCCATCACATTACTCCAATATGTAAGTACTCTGCTACATATTGTTCCGGCCATGTTGCACTTGGCAGCGATTCCATGATTGAAGAAAGCTAATTGCAATCTTTTCCCTTACGTCAGGCAGTCTATCCGTCGCACGGCCACTCGCGCCGCCTTCACCAGCTCGGTCGCCGCCGCCGCTGCGCCCAAGTCCCAGACCGTCTCCTTTGCTCTGCGTGCCCTGAACGCCGCTGCCGCCGCCAGATCCTTCTCCGCCGCGGCGCCGAGAGCATTCTCCCGTTCCATTGCGTTCCGTGAAGATGACCAAGCCGAGGGAGCCATCCGCCGTACCGAGCAGAGGGGCCGGAGACAGGAGCCCAGCGACAACGTCCTCTTTGTCCAAAACTACTCTTTCGATGTCAAGCCCGAGGAGCTGAGCGAGGCTTTCTCCAAGTACGGCGAGGTTGTCGGCGTTTCGATGCCTCCTAAGAAGAGGTATGTCTCAAAATACCTTGGATCCCCTGACGCAGCTTCCGGCTTCTTATCTTCCTTCCCCTTCATGGTTCTAGCTTCCGTTCTGCAAGGATGAGGAGACGCACATGTGAATACTGTCCATCTCCAGTCGATCAGGGGCTAACCTATGGATCTTTTCTCTTTTAGCTACTGCTTTGTCTACTTCAAGACCCCCGAGTCCGTGAAGGAGGCTGCCGAGAACGTCGACGGAACCTTTTGGCACGGCCGCCGCATCGTTGCCAAGGCCCGCGACGCAAACGCAAGCAGACCCGCCAGGGAAAGTCGCGGGAGAAACAACGACAACAGAGCGACCAGAAAGAGCGTCTACGACGGCCCTCCCACAGCGACCGTCTACGTCGGCAACATCTCCTTCGAGGCCTCAGATAAAGACATGAACGACCTCTTTGCCAACCTCGAGGGCGTCAAGGACGTCCGCGTCGCCGTGGACCGCGCGACGGGCTGGCCGCGCGGTTTCGCCCACGCCGACTTCCACTCCGTCGAGGCGGCGACGGCGGCCATGGAGGTCCTCAGCCAGACTGAGATTCACGGTCGCAAGCTGGCTACCGGGTACGCCCCCGGTTCCACCCCTCGTCGCCGCAGCGACAGGGACTCGTCGAAGGAGATTGAGGAGCGCGTCGAGAGCGAGCACGCCCAGGCTGAGGAGGCGCAGAAGGAGACGAAGCCCGAGGCTGGCGTACAGCAGAACAACTGGAATGCCTAAACTACCTTTTTAGGGTGTTGGGTGTATCGGCTGGCAAGATGAACAAAAGATTTCGACGAGGACCCTTCTTGTGAGCTCAAGAAGGCGTCGATGATTTTATGTCCCGGTGGCTGAAGGCCTTTCAATGGCCCATGTACAAGATCTTCTGATGTGTTGTATTTTTTCTACTTTTTGTGGCTTTTTTCCTAGCGGGAAAAAGCGTCAGGGATGACTGAAGAGAGAGCGTCCTAAGCTGTCTGGAGGGGGAAAAAAGATCTCAGGGCGGAAAATGGGAAAGAAAAGTGTTTGGAGAAAAGATGGGACACATCTCCTTACGCAACGATGAATAACTTGAAAGCCGAACAAGGGCATTTGTATCATACGAACTCTAGAAAAGAAGGCCCTTTCTTGCTTAGCATGGGCTTATCTTGGGCATACATGGCATATCTTCATGTATAAAAAATGTAATATCTCTACTTCAGTTATGATTTGCTCTAGACCTTTTGACTTGCTTTGCTTTCAACTGACGTCTATCACCTTGTGTCATCTCAAGCGTGGTCGAAAGTGCTCAAAGCCGTGCGTGAGCTCGCTATCTAATCGCCGATGTCCATTTTACCTTGGCAAGGCTGTCTTCTCACCTTACCTTACTCACCTTACTCCGAACGGGCAGCACGGGATATCGGGACGAAGGACCGACGGAAACGTTCGGCATGGGAGCCCGGGCAGAACAGAACAGAACAGGAAGCGAGGGAGGGGGGGGGGGCACCGACCTTCTTTCGGGGCCCGGAGCGTTCTCATGTCCATGAAGACCGGCCGGCTATGGATCAGACGGGCAGCTGTGACTCCTGAGATATATGTTGGATCCCGGCACCCGGCCAAAAGAGAAAGAGAGGGAGAAAAAAAAAGAACGGGGACTTTTTTTCCCCCCCCCGTTCTTATGTAGAGGCTTGTATTTCGTAGCCATGACCTTGCTCGCGCCCGACATGCTACTCTTGGATGGATGACCTCTGTCCGCGATGATCCGTCAAGTCCATCACCCCCATGGGCCCTGCCTTTAATCGGCATGACTTTACACGAGAGGGCCCATGGAGAAAACTTTCTCTGATGGGCAACGACGGACAAGGGAGCTGGCCAAAGCTTCTTCTTGCCTCCTTGATTCTTCTATAGTGTACGGAGTACTCTGTGTTCCTGGATCGCCATCGGTCAAGGCGAACGTGAGCAATCTATTTAGCCATTCTCGCAACACATGGTCCGCCCTGCGGACTGAACTTCCCCCTCCGCCCTCCCCCTTGACCCGGTCTCCCGTTCCTGAAGGTCAGGTCTGTGAAGGATGATGATCTTGCTGCTTCCTCCGGCCGCAAGCCCCGCAAGGAGAGCAAACACACCCACCCACCGGCCCCCGGCCCCGGTTCCTGTTCTGGTCCCCACCCCCCAACCCGAGTCAGTTTCTTTTCTCGCGAGAATTCAAGAGAAGAATGGATAGATGACAACGGAATACCCGCGCCCACCTTCCTTGTCACAACGGGACTCACGAAGTCACGATCCTACTGATTGATATCCGTACCCGTTCCTAACTTTCAGCCTTTTTTCGCACGTTCACTCCCCTTTTCCCACCCCCATCCCCTGCGCCCTGGGTTCATACAAGTTACCACATTATCCCCCGCAATGTTTCTCCTTGATAGCATAGAAGGTCCGTCCGCCCCCTTCTAGAAAGGTTCCTCAAATAGGAAAAGGGGGGCGTGATCAGGCAACATCACGGCATCGCCGTTGAAAAGTAGCGAATATCTACGAAGTACTCTGTACCCGTCGCGAATACACGTATTATAGGGAAACTTTGATCGCGACACGCTATAAACGCGCGAAGCTCTCTCGCGCCCATGCCGTCCCATGTAGACGCATGGGTTGATACCTTTTCGACGTCGGTGGGAAAACGGTGGAAGACCCGCCTGTCCCGAGGCCCCCCCCCCTCCCCCGGTCCAAGCTATCCGTACGGATGGATACCGGATACCTTTCTCCAAAAAAATCCAACACACCGTTTTAGATTTTCTTCCAAATTCGTCGCGACAGATGATTCTGGTTGGTCAGAGGCCCGGCCAGCCCACTCCCGACATGCGTTTTCCCACCAACGCACCGGCGCCCAAAAAAAAAATCGAGTCAAGGAAAAAAAATCTGCAAGCAAGCGCAAAAGAATTTTGACCAGCCTGGGGGTCGAACCCAGAATCTCCTGATAACTGATTGAATCGTAGTCAGACGCCTTGCCATTGGGCCAACCGGCCGATTATCCCGTTGAGGATTCGAGCTTGCTTGCTTGGTGACCGCGGCCGAAAGCTGGATTATGAAAGGTAAGAGCAAAACTTTGAGATCGTGATGTTGGATGAAGCTTGTCTTCACCAACGCAAATGCTGGAGATGCATATGTATACTTGACAGCCCTGATCATGATAATCATTGGAATTAAATAACTCATACCTCTTGGATTTTGGAAGTCTTAGATTCCCGAATATCGCTAGCCATTGACGGTGAGTTCCGCGGCTCAATCTTTACTCCGGGCCGTGGAAATAAGAGAGGAATGAAAACATCATCTTGTAGCCTGGGTTCTAAATTATCAAAGTTCATTATGTGGTTTCTAGTCATAACTATCACCCCAAAGAAAGCTCCGTCATCTGAACTACTTACCCCCTTGAACACACGCTACTACATATGATGAAGAGAGTTCTTGACTTGAAATATATTTACAATACTTGAGCAAGATCAAGCTGGCCCTGGTAACTTACTGCCAACAGACCAGCGTCATGATGGCCATCTTTTCCCATGATTCCCGTCTTCTCCACAGTGTACTCGCGGCGGTCTATCTCTATAGTTCAGATGTGGCCAAGCTCTCATCGGTGGCCCTGACAAGTCCGCTGATGCTCTTGGCTGGGTAAGAGGACAGACAAGATGAAGATGGCACTTCAAGTATTGTCCATGTTCGTATTCCAATGAACGTCACATGCGACTTTTCACACATTGCCAACCACCTTCATCTTTTCGCCTCCCCTCTTCCAAGTGTCTCGCGCCTACGAGAAGAGCCTCACCATCCCATCAACATCAACATTCCCACCACTAACAACAAGCCCCAGATCCCACCCCTCCTCACCCCCCTCCCGCTCCGCCATGCCCCGAAACTCCTCATTATACAACGCAACAGCCAACGGCACCGCCGCGCTCGGCTCGACCCACATCTTGAGCCTCTCCAGGAGCAGCCGCGTCGCCGCGAGGATCTCCTCCTCGGTGACGGCGTACATGCCGCTCACCAAGCCCCGATCGTAGATCAGGCCCCACGGCGTGGCGCTGACGGCGCCCGCGAGGCCGTCTGCCACCGTGTCGGGGGTCTTGGTGTGGGCGACGATCCTCGCGCCCGAGTAGAACCCCCTCCGCCCGTCGTCGGCGCCCTCGAACTCGGGCTCCGCGCCAAAGACTCTTATGCCGGTGCCCTCGCAGCTGAGGGCTGTGCCGGAGAGGAGGCCACCGCCGCTGCAGGGCGCGATGATGGCGTCGAGACCTTTTCGTCGTCGTCGTCGTCGTCCTCCTCCCTCTTCGATGGCGTTCTGTTGCTGCTGCTGCTGCTGCTCCAAAACTTGCTCCTGGAACTCGAGTCCCGCCGTCGCTTGACCGAGGATGACGTCCGGGTGGTCGTGAGGCGGCACGAGCCTGGCGCCCGTCTCGGCGACGATCTCGGCCGCGACGGCCTCGCGGCCAGCGAATCCCGGCCCCGAGAAGACGACGATGGCGCCGTAGCCTTTCGTCGCTGCGATTTTGTTCGGGCGCGTCGTCGTGGGCATCACGATGCGAGACGTGATGCCGTCTTCTGCGGCCGCTAAGGCGAGGGCTTGGGCGTGGTTACCTGAAAGATGGACCAATTCGATCAGTAAAGCGGGAGATTAGAGGAGGAATCGAGGCGTTGAGACTTTACCTGCGCTGTACCCTACGACGCCCTTCCCCTTGCCGCCGCTCTCGAGCCATCCGGGCTCCTGTTGGAGTCTCTTTATGGCGTGGAAGGCCCCGCGAGCTTTGAAGGCGCCGGTGCGTTGCATGTTTTCGCATTTGAACCAGAGCCTGAGGATGGGTCTCGCTGGTGTACGGCCGCTGCCGATCGCGGCAGAGTCTCTTGGTGTTGACGCCATTCGGCTCAGTGTCTTGTTCGTCAAAACGGGAGTCAGATGGACGTGTGACCTGATTAGTTGGCGGGCCTGAATGACCGAGTCCCTGGTCAGGGGTGGACAGGTTGAGAGGCCGGCCATGACTATGACAGCGGCTGAGATGAAGGTAGTTCTTTGTGATGGGATGGTAATAAGTACTGATTTTGGTTCTAGTATGGGCTTAAGTCTGACTTGGATATGGTATCAAGATGCGCGAAGTTGAGCAGCGGTGCTATTCGAGTGACATGCTCATCAAAGTGGTCGTGGCTTTCAGAACTACATGATGGCGAAATTTCAACAACTGTTATACTATGGTTCAATTTAAAGTCATCGAGCTGCTTCGGGTAAGGAACCCGGCGTCAACGTCGTTCTCGCGGTGTTTGCGACTTGGTTGGAAGTGGGACTCTCGGCAAGACTTCCAACGACGCCGAAATGCACTCGGCAACTTGACCATGTCTCCGAGGTCGAGAGAACTTGACTTCCAATGAGACGACTCGTCCACTTAGGAGAATTAGCGAGCAGTTTGACATCATATGCAAGAGGTTATGGCAGAGCTTCAGCATCGGGTCTGACTTCCGAGGCTATGAACTCTCCTTGATCAATCATGTTGAGCACCGCAGAACGGGCTATTCCCCAGCCAACAAATTCCAATCATCTCCAGGAAAGACTTTGAATCGTATATCTTAGCTATGTGCTACTGCCAACGGCCGGCAGGCGCTCGTACAATGATATTATGCTGTTTATGACTTGCGCCGCCATAATGTGTATAATTGATGATTCTTGTGGTCGTCGACCACGATTAAAGATCTTCATAGTTTTAATTAATTAGCCAGGCAAACATAATTGGGGTAATACGACCCTGGAAGTGTTTAAGTACGTGAGCGCCTAACAGCTGGTGTTTGTGGCATATAGTTAAAATAGCCAAACCGTACAGTCAAAACAGCCGTACGTAATACTTCCATGTCGTACTACCATCCAATAAACTGCTTTTGAAGCCGATGCAGTCACTTCCATTTGAAGACATGGCCAAGAACTTTGCAAGCCGACCTCTCAAGCAGTGTTGTTCCCACGTACAGAGGAAAACCAGTGAGGACTATCTTGGACCTACATAACGTTTGCAAGACCTTGTGAAGCGTGTCGGCATGCTGACGAAGGGAGGAGCAGACACTATAATCATCATGATCCGTCATCATCGACCCATTCTCCCCGTAAAACGTGCAATCGGTCGGGGGGTGGTAGGTACAAGTAACATGGCTTTTAGTCGTGACACTTGAAAAGAGGTAGGATCCTCCTTCTCTGACATAAAGCAGGTTCGTCGGACATCACTGGGAAAATCGGGAAATAAAACAAAAAAAAAAGTCTATTCTCTTTTTCTCTCTCTGACCCGAGATCTGATCAAGACTCATGGCTGGCTCGCCCCAAAAAGGGGGAAAGAGCGTTTCATAGACGTCAACCGGAGGGAGGTGGGGAGTGTGAAGCATCTTCAGCATCTTCCCCAATAATTCCCACGAATGCGACCCAAATACCCCTATGCCGTAGCTTCAACACCGAAAACTCCCAGATTCCCTAGTTTCGCATCTTGGTCTTTTTGATTTGCCATGGCTCTCTGGAACGAAAAAAAAAAGTCGAGGCGTGAGGACCGATTGCCAGGTTTTACCTTTCAAATGCCCCTCACCTTAGTATTGCATCGTGTCCACTTTTGCATAGATTATGCTTGAGAAAAAAAGGAAGTGAGAAACCCAACTTCTGTATCCAGAAAACCCCCTTTCTTGATTCTGCCAGGTACTTTTAGACCGTAGCTCTACCATTGAACCCCGATTTGGGTACGTAAAATTTCGACCGTGGTCGGTCTTGGAGAAGTGAATAGTCGGAAGAGAGGAGAAGGCCAGAGAAAAATCCAAATTCGAGGCTCGAGGCTCAGAGCGTCACCCTTTCTTGATATGTCCTTGTATGTTTTACCATGCACGGCTTTCTTCTTGACCGTGTGGTTTGTCGTGGCAAATTGTTATTTTGCGTCGTCTCGCGTTGACGCGTGGTGTATGGACGAGATCTCCGAGTGCAGCGAAACAGGCCGGCGACAAGGCCTGTCGCGGATTTGACAGTAAAGGGTTTGGTTATAGTAGTGGCTTGCCGGGTGTAATAGGCTTTTCCTGCATGATTGGGTCGGCGAGGTCGGATCGTAGTGACGATAAGCCGTTGGCAAGAGGGAATGGCTTCAGGAGACCCCCTCTTCCATTCGAACTGAACGCAACGGTAGCAAATCATTGCAGCAGATCCTTGACGTTTTCTTTCACATTGAGCGCCCACTTTAGCTTCGCTAACGTCGACCTCGTCTCCTCGAGCAACCTCTCCTGCTCGGCATCCCGCCCGGCGACGCCAGCCTTGATATCCTTGAGCAAGAATTCCTGCTGCGCCTTGTACTCGTCAAACTTTTTCTGGATCTCCTCCTTTTGCCGCCTCAGCTCCTTGATGTTGCCGTCCTGCTGGTCGCACAGGTCCCGCAGCGCCGCAATCTTTTCGTCGTCGCGCCGCCGCTCCTCGACGACGCCCGCAATCTCGGACCGCAGCTTTAGGTGCGCGCGCTGCACCTCGTCGCCCTGGTCCTTCCAGTGCGAGCTGATGGCGTTGTACCGTCCCTCCATGAGCGCGGCATGGGTGTTTGCGTCCTCGACCTGCTTCGTCGTGCTGGCGCGCATCTTTTCCATCTCGTCGCGCCACAGGAGCTCTTTTTCTTTGGCGTCCGCCGTGCGCTTCTTTTCTAGTTCCACATTGGCGTGGAGGGTTTCGACCTGGCGCTCCTTGCGGCTGAGGAGCGTCTTGGTGACGCTCGCTTCGAGGAGGCGGCTCTCGTAGTCGCTGATGATGCGCTCCATCTTGTCCTCTACCAGCTTGGCGGCCTGCTTAGCCTCCTCGGCTCGTAACCGTTCGATCTGGATGTCACGCTTTAGGGCTTCGTTGTCGCTGACGAGCTTGTTGATGACCCGTCCCGTCTTTCCCAGACCCGCCTTGCCAATGGTCGAGTCCCAGCCTGGGCCTTGTCCTTCGGGTACGGGAGCGGCGTTTTCATCGTCGGCAGGCGGCGTCTCTTCCCTCCTCGCTGAGTCTATTTTGATGGTGTTGTCGTTGCTGGCGTGAGGCCAGTCGTGTTTTAACTTGACGCCTGGCGTCCTTTCTTGGTGATTCGATGCCATGCTGATTGCGCTGGCGTTGCTGTTTACGGAACTGGAGAATGCGGAAGTGTGTGAGGGTGCGTCGGAGCTCGTGTCGCTCGCGGCTTCGAAGCTGGGTACTGTTCGGATGGTCTGGACCATCTTAGGGGCGCCTCGGGGAGAAGGGAAAGGGCTCGGCGTCGACTGGTGGGTTCCGTCGATGCGCGTGTTCAAGCTACTGTTGCGTACGTTACGAGAGAAGTAGGAGGTGGTGATAGGGGGAGCGAGTGTGCGTCGACTGCTCGAGAGACCATTTAGCGATGGGGCCGTCGTCGTTGTCGTCGGGGAAGAAGACTTTTGGCGGAAGTTGTTGAGGTAGAGGTGTGGAGGTCTTGAGGAGGTTCGAGGTCAGCACGACGGTCACCTTTCCTTCCGTAAGTTCCAGGAACGGCAGCGGAGTGGTATAGCGCCAGTGCCAGACTCCTGAAAGGTTTAGGTTGTCGGGAGAGGCTAGAGACAGAAGATGGCGTGGAGTGGGCGGGTTGTGGATCGGGGCGAGGTTTCAAGCAAAGAGTGCACAAGGACGGGGACCCTTACCGAGAACAAAGTCTTGTGGAGGAATATCAAAGTCGGGTACGGGTACCTAAGGAGGGTTGGATGGGAGCCGTTGCTTGTCGTGTTTATTGAGTTTTTGCAGTCGACTAGGCATGTCTCTGGCTCATGTTATTTCAGTCGTCGTCGTCGTCGTCGTCTTGGGGTTGTTGATGGTGGTGGCCCAGGCAGGCTGGTCGACGGTCTGGTAGTTTGCAGATTGTTTAGTGTTTAGTGCTGGCGTGGTGGGTGGTTGCAGCAGAAAGTTGGGGGCGCGCGCGTTCGTCTTTTTGGATTGGGCGTTGGTTGATTTTAGCTGCGGTCGAAAACGGCGGCCCGTCTGATGTCGGACCGGCGGCTGACGTGGGATTGGATGCGCGGGTTCGGTGGGTTTCTTGGGGGAAGAAGAGACTGAACTCGATATCCGTAAACGAGAGACAGACACACGCACTGCCTGGAATGGGCGGATGTCCGGGTCAAGCGTGGTGGGTGTGGTGGTGGTCAATTACAGCTGGGAAGAAGCACGCGAAGCCCATGCGGCGAGGGCAATGCAAGGAAGAGAGAGAGAGAGAGAGAGAGGCAGAAAATACGGGAAGAAAGATGGGACGGGAATCTCGGCCTTGAATGACAAAAGGCTGGATTGGATCCAGAGTTATCCGTAAGGTCAGGTAGGTAGGTCAGGTATTGTATTACCTAGGCCTACGTCAGTCAGGTAGTGTGGACAATCTTCCTCTGACAGGAGGTGGGAAAGGAGGGTCGAGCGAGAAGGGAAAAGCCCAGATGAAAACTAAGCAGGAACGGCGGCCGAGACAAGCATAAGGCATATCAGAGCGGGCATTTGGTAATTCCTAGGGTCGGGTGCCTCGAGTACGGGCATGCAATTGTGGACGGAGTACGCAGTAATGATCAATTCGGCCAAGGGGACCCGCTGTGTCTTGTTCACTGCTCTGCATTGCTTTTCTTCGTCCGTCTTTGATACAACACAATATCAAATAACTTCCTTGCCTTACTTAGCCAGGCACATGAACAAAACATCAACACTGACAACGGAACATGCAACCATAAGGCAAAGCACACCACCAACAGCAGAACACACCGCATCGAGGCACAACGCACAACACACCGGGTACCGAACAAATCACAGCAAACGGGGCCACCGGCAGACCGATATGACAACCTTGACGTGACCACTCATCTGCCCTGACTAACCAGTTGAAACCCCCACTAAAAAGCAGGAGAGCACCCTGTTCCCCAGCAACCCGGCTGCTGCGTCACTCAGCCTCTGCAGGAAAAGGTTGCATGGGGATGGCTCATGCACGGCCCTCCTATTATGTATTGCTCTCTTTTTATGTGCCTACAGCTTCCATTACGGATCATGTGTCTACCTACTTATGTACGTAGACTAGTAGCCCCCTTAAGTCATCAGGTAAGGGGCAACGGCGCATCTTAAAGCGAAAAACGACATCTCCATGATACAAATGCGCATAACATTGAATTTCCCTTCCAATCTCATTCTAGGAATAGCCCCCTTTCTCTTGAAGCCGCCTTGCATGGCCACACGAAACACCACACACTTAGAATATGAGCCTGGATAATCGCATTGTGTATGTAATGCGCCGGCCTCCTTGAATAAACTCTACCTAGCAGACTCTCTCTCTTCCTTCGGTCCCCTAATACCAAGAATAATCTCAAAGACCAACATTTGAGATCGTAAAGATACACACCCAGCTGCCAGTAACCCCATCCTTAAACCCCCTTCGCTACCAGCATCCGTCTCATCCCGTCCCCAGCTTGAAAGCTCTTTAATCCCAGCGCAGATCTGAGCCGCATCTCACTGTCACTTTCACCTCGTCAAAGGAAAAAAAGAAGACACCCCTATCCCAGTCACCAGCGGCTGAGCCCAAATACACGATTTCTCCCCTACCCCCTGGACCGATAGTTTCTGGGCCCCCTTTTCCCGGGCACCGTTCAAGGAACCCATTACTTGAACGCAAGGCTTATCAACTTTATCCTCCTCCCATAACCCTCATCCCATCTTGAAACTGCGCCCCCCGCCATACTCATCCCGAAAGACTACTTGAGCCTGCAGCGGGAAGAACACAAGGAAGACGACAGATACCGTCTCAACTCAGCAAGAGGGCTTCGTCAGGTGTTCGGCCTCCATCCACAATCCGCCGTCTTTATAATTAGTACACACCTCGGGGCAATTGGCTTTCTCGCGGCAGCTTGTATGCGAGAACGACCACACACACACGCACACACATACACACACATACACACACATACATCTACAGTCTATGCACCTCAACATTGACATCGTTATCCGAAACAGTAGACATTGCTCGAGGACCTACCAAGGTCCTACCTAGGTTGGACCAACCGAAGTCGCTAACCGTACCTCGAAGCTCGTGATACTAACGAAATTCCACTCCCCTCCCGTCTCTCTTCCCTCCTCCCAGAATAGCTTAGCAGCATCTGTTTCTTCGGTCTACGTACCCTTCAACATCACATAAAATGACACACTGTGCCAAGCTCGCCCAAACCGGACAACCACCGGGCAAAACATCTCCAACCCCCGTACTGCCATACCAAAACTTCCCCCGGAAACCCTAGACCGACCGACGCTAACGTCAGACCTGAGGGACCGAGGCCGTCCATGCCCCCTCCTTCCTTCCATCCTTCCCCGGAGAAGAATCCGTCACTCTGTGTCCGAGAGCTTCGTCAGCTCCAGCCCGTCGCCTGCCGCATTCCCGCCCGTCCTACATGCGACCCGCGGGGGTGTCGTATGCGTATGGCTTCAGGACACGCCTCAACCCAAGGTATATAATGGATTCACCTCTCCAACATAGACACATACGACCACACCCATCAGAGAATTCGGGATCCCGTCCGCTCTCCCATAGACAAGCTGATGAGGGCCAGATTAGTAGTTGAGTCGGTGACGATCAGCGAATACCTGGTGTTGTATGTTTTTTTCTCTCTCGTATACGTTGTCTTGTTTGTTGCTAGGTATACTTGTGGTTATTTGCCAGGAGGGGGACGGGCAGGCTAGGCCAGGCAGCCTGCACTAATTTCTCGTGTATAAATGGCAAGATCAAGAGGAAGGTATCCGGCTGTCACCACCTCAAGAGCACATCAACTGGTTTAACAGACTTTGCTTTCCGGGCCTCTGATGGCCCTTGATTTTACATGTATACAGTTTATCCGTACACTTACCATGGTTTCGAGTCCCCGATCGAACGCCAGACCCATGCCATGCCATGCTATGCTCACGCCGATTTGCTTCCGTGGCATTCTCCTGTTGTCTTTTTATGCCTTCTCTGCTTTCTCTCCATCTCTTCAAGTCAGTGGGCCCCGGAGACCAATCGCTGCCCGATTCACTCCAGTTTTTCCATGGGTATTCGTTTGGGTTTCCGCGGCTATCAAATCATCCATCCTCCGCAAAACCATTCCGCTTTCAGTGCCGTCTTTGAACGGTCTATGCAGTCGCTTGAGGTTGGCCTTGATCATGGTCATCCTATGTTGTGATAGCCGTCGTGTTGTTCGTCGCTGGTGCTGTTCCAGCCTCTGCAGCTGCCTTCGCCGATTCTAACCAGGTCGGCCGGAACTTTACCAAGTATTTTGCCGCCAGAGGCCGTGCGTCCTCGTCTGTACACAAAATTAGCATCGTTAATGACACGCGTAGCGAAGGATAGCACATACACTCTGTCCATATATCTTGCACTGTATCCAGAGCCAAGTCTTTGGCCGGCGGCCGCATCATGACCAGGTACAACAGACTTGTCAACGCCAGCGGTACAACCAACGGATCCCGACACATCAACTTGACGCGTGATAAGATGGCAGGGCTGAGCTCGGGAATCTCGCCCAAGAAACGAGTAATGACCTTGTCTTGCGCATTGAGGTACTGAGAGAAGCCGTCGATCAACTTCAGAGCCCATTTCTCGTAGTGCAGAGGATGGCCTCCATCCTGCTTCTTCTGCAGCTGATCGTTGTACCATTCTTCATGTAGCCATGTGATGGCAACATCGATACGGCGGCGGAAGTCCTCGAGGACGTAGGTATACAGTGACTCCCGGATACTGTCACCGAGAGCTAGACGGCTAGTGGCCTCGTCCTTTACACCGCCCTCCAAGCCGGCCGACGAACGGCTGGCCAAGCGCGTAATAATGGCGATCCAAGATTCTCGGTCGTTGGTGCTGGCAGCCAATCGGTTGATGCCAGACTTTGACTTTTTCGCAGGGTCCTCTAACGTCTTGACGAACTGGAAAAGCGACATCACAGAGCCTTGGCCCGCACTGAGTGCCAATTCAGGCGTAAGTGCTGGTGGAGGTGGTAGTCTAAACGTCCTCAGACCGAGATCACCGTCATCTGGTTTGGTTACAGGGTCGCTGTCAAGCTTGTTGAGGATCTGCTCGTTGTCCTCGGCGGCGTAGAAATCTGGCTCGTATTCATCGTCGTCCTCCTCTACGCCAAGAAGAGCGGTTTCGGGATCGATTTGTGGTGGGGGTTGGGCAGCGAGCACATTGAGTCGTCCTCGGATACCCTGCAAAGAGTTAGTAAAGGTCACGCCCTGCATATATCGACTCAGACCTACCTCGACAGCTTTCGCAAGCAGTTGGGCGTCTGTCCGAAGGAGCGTGGTGATGCTGATCTTGGCAGCCAAAGCTGTAGGCAAAGTGCCCACGTCAAACGCTTTCAGTCCCTCGCTTCCAGTAAGAGTAAAGACGTCGCCTAGACTGTGAGGGCCTGGCGGTAGTGGCGTGATTTGTATCTGCGGCCTTGTCGCAATTTGAGGTGCCATCCGCTGGCGCTTGGCTTCTATACCCTCTTGTTGCTGCTGTGCCTCGAGGGCACGTTTCCGGCCAGATTCATCAAAGATCTCGTGTCTCATGCGCATCATTCTCTCCACGTGCTGTTGAATCCGTTGCGCCATGGGATTATGAGGATCGCTTCGTTACATTGGTTAGCGATGAAACCAGCAGAATGGTGCACATGGGACTAAGGATATACCGTTTGGCTAGATGTATCAAGAGCATTCGAGTAGTCTTCTCCATGGACTTAACCATTACACGAGTTCTAGGGGTCATTGGCGAGTTTGCAAGCTTCAACGGGTTGAAGTTGAGAACGGCATTGAGGATCCTATTGGCAGTGCCCGGGCGACTGCGGATCAAAATGGACAGGCAGTTCAAAGTGGCATCAACGAGCAACACATCACTATCATCATGGTGCTGCGGTTAGCTATCGTCGGACCTTTCCCGCTCTCGCTTGCAATCCTTACCTGCTGTTCTCCTGCAGTATGCTCAGTATCCTGTCCAGTAAACCAGCCCCTTCGGCGTCGAGCGTCCTAGCATCCAACGTCTGGTGGTTTGGCGGGATCTTGTCGAGTGATATGTCAAGGGAATCGCCACGCTAGACCTTAAGTCAGTAAGAACACTAATGCATACTCTTGGGTTCATCGTACTCTCGGTTCGTTAGGGTTCGCCGCCGACTGTGCTAGAACAACTCGCTGGGCAAACTTGATACAGCATATCCGCACCGTGGATTCGGCATCGTCCCAAATTCGAAGGATCCTCTGCTTTATCGCGACCATCCGTTCCCATGTAAATGTGTCGTACGAGTTATTGATGCTACCGATTCAATTAGCCTCCGATGCACGCAACGCAGCCAGAGCATGCCGAAGAAGTAGATGCGCACTCACATCCATCGCAGTGCAAAGGGATAGATGCTGGCTGCCGTCTGAATAGCGCTTCGCAGGACGTGGGCGTCCTCGTTGGGGGTCTCGACCATCGTCTGTAGAGTGTCCAGCACAAACAGCTGCATCGTCTCCTTCTCGCTTCCGGGGAGGGCTGGCGTCGCGAAGGCTTCAGCGAGGAAATCGGCGCCCCATCTGCGCAGTTCGACGCCCGCTGTGGGGCCGACGATTGGTAGGATGCTTTTGACGACCGTCGGGTAGTACTTAACGTCACCGAGAACGAGCTTCCTGGCGTCGTTTAGTTGGCGAATCTGGTCGCTCACAGACACCTGCGGGGAGGGAGCCGCCATGATTGCAGCAAGCGATGGCGAAGACGCTTGAAGTCTGAATGATTTTAGGCAGATGGAGAAATAATGTGAAAGTCGATGAAACGTAAAAGTGTTGTTGGATATCGAATCTCGGGCAAGTTGGAAGACAACCTGGGTATCACGAGGGCAGCAGCTGTCGCGACTTGTCGAAATATGGAGAGCTCAAGCTTTTCCAGATCACCATTCTCCAACGCGCCGATAAACACACAGTCGCAATCGTCAAGAGTCGTGTAATTAGTCGGGATGGATGGCGAAAGCGAGATGTGCGATGAGGAAATTTCCCGGCGATTCGTATCAGCTACCCGTCGATGCGATTCCTCTGTTTGCCTTGCTCCAAAAGTCTGATGTATTTCCTGCGGGTGCAAGAAGAGGCAGCAAGCACCTGCCGACGTTGAGGGACCTGCGTGACAAGCGACGCGGGTTATGACGGGGCGTGTCGACGGCTCCTGGCTGTTTTGGGTTAGCGCATCGGCTGCCCTAGAGCCTTCAGGGAGCTGTGGACCCTCCTCATCGGGCATGGAAGGCACGCACGGTACCTTACCTTTCAGTCACTTCTATCCACGGACGCTGGACTCAGTATCGCTTGTTCAAATTGAAGAGAACTTTTACCGTGGTGGTGCGTTCTCAATTGAATGATGCAAATCGGCATTCGTGACGAAAAATCGGAAACGTCTGCCGTGATGTAATGATCAAGGATGTTTTCAATGCACCTAGATAACCTAAATACCGGCTGGAGCTTTGAGCTTGAGGTCGCAGGGCCCAAAAGCTACGAGAAAGATGCAGCTTCAAAACCAGCTTCCCATACTTAGGTACCGTGAGTCTAAGCTTCAGTGCTTCCAATGAGGGCAGTTTTGTCTTTTTCTCTCTTTCTTCATATAAATGTATATTCATCTAGCACACTACTGCAGCATGCGTATTTCCGTTGAGTAACATAGTTCCAAGATGAACGTGAAGATCTCAGTTCTACGAAATGTACCTCTTCTTCAACTGGGCCCGGTACCTTGCTTACCTTGAGTGTGAAGATGTCTTTTCTCTCCTGCAAAGGCGGCGACGGAATGTCTGTCCCCCCCCCCCCCAAAACAACCTGGAAAGCTGCTCCCAGAGAACCCCTGCCCACCCAAGCTTGTCGCACAAGTCTCCACGTCACTATCAGTTCTGCCGCACTTTCTCCGCCTTATCGATACCAATCAGCGTCGAGGCAATCAATGCCGGGCTGGGACGCGCCTATTGGAATTTCCAGAAGTTCGAACCACGGCGTTTGCGACAAGGGCCCCGAACCGACCATTGAATTTCCCGAATCCACGGCGCAAACCCACGATCGACCACCCCTCCCCCTTCCCCAAGGGTCTGAACCAACCTCACGAACCCTCGATTACCGAATCCAACGAAAGACAGAACCTCAGAATTTGGTCACAATGGCGATGTGCGTCAACTCCCCCATCCGTCGCCCGTCCCCTCCACCGCCGCCGCCGCCAGAGTGAGCAAGTGGTCTGACAAGCAGGAAACGACAGCCCCCAAAAGTCCTCCTACTACGATCGCAACCTCCGTCAAGGACCCGCCCTGATCAGAGCGCGCAAGCCCTACCTCGCAAAGAACCTCGCCGTCGGTGCCGGACTGTGGTGCTTCGTCGGCGCAGTGTGTATGTGGCGAAACAACCCCCCCCCCCTTCGCGTAGACAGGCACCGTTGCGGAATCACCGAGCAAGATAGCTGACACAGTTTTTTGGGAAACAAACAGATTGGTACACGATCAAGGCGGTCGGTCAAGACGAGTTTGAAGATGTCAAGGTTCCTGACGCCCCGAGGCAGCCAGCAAAGTCCAACTAGGGCTGTTGTAGAGACGAGAGCGACGGTAGAAGGAGACATGTGATGTACGAGTTTAAGCGCAGGATGAGATTCATAATCCCTAGGAATAAAAAATACGGGGAGTATATCAGTATGCGTGGGAGCATATGCATTGTATAGTATATATCTGCGAGTTTCACTCATCTCGCTGTTTTCGCCTGTGGCATCAATATCAAAGAAAATAAGAAGAAATCCCCAATTAATAACTCTGTGCATCTCTCATTACAGGATCAGACCCGTCCATTCAATGCAAATGCAGCTCCGTAAAACCTGTCCGTTCCTCCCATCTTGTAGACACCCATAAGTTTTGGCACCCTCTATAGGGGGGGGGCAGAATGAACATGCCCGTTGAAACAACGCGCCAGTGCAAGCACAACTAGTTTAAGGAAAGAAAAAGGGGCGAGCTGCCCAAGCCGTCGTGGGGTATCATAACAGAGCAGTAAGCCTCGAAAACGCCGTTGGCCGTCCATTGATGCCGTCCTAACTAGCCATCGCCGACACTGGCTCTTGTTTGGGAGCTGTGTTTTTCGCAGCTTTTGATGTGCGGCTGCCTGCGCGCTTCATCTGGGCGCTCTGTGTCAAAACATTGGCTGTTCTGACCATCTCGGGAGAAGCAGAAATAAATCGGTTCATTGGCGGCGACGCCTGCGGCACGACATGGCCGTTCGTCACGGCTGGTATCGGTTGTTGGTTGGACGGGCCTGCTGCTACTTTACCTCCCTGCATTGGACTGCTCAATCGAGCACCGGCTGCTGCAGGTCCTGTGTTGATCTTGTGTGCAATGTGGTTCGGGTTGGCCCATGGAGTATCTTTGATAAATTGCTCCCCGGCGGGGCCGAGGTTAGATCCGAAAGCCACTGCTTGATAATCGTCAATGGGCTGCATTATTGAACGCTGACGAGGTTTCGTGTTGCGCTGGTAGGAGTCAGTAATGTGTTTTCCACCCAGAGAATCCTGCGATTCACTAACCTTCATTTGCTCCAGGTCGTCCTCGATCTCTGAGCCACTCGCGCCCCTCATGGCCGGCACCGCGGGGAAGCCCTCATGCTTAGCGAGACCGGCCAAAAACGAGACCTCCGAATTGTATGCCACGGCATTCCTTGTGCGCTGTGCAGGGTTCGTGGGGAAGAGGAGGCCGTAGTCCGGAATGCTGTGTGCGCTTCGCCTAGCATTCTGGGTCTCGTACCACTCCTTGTTGAGATCTTCGAGCATCTTTGAGCGCTTTTCCCGAGAGCCTTGGTAGAATTGATTCCAAATCTGGGCACGGCGCGCCACTGCCAATCTCTCAAGGGCCTCAACCGAGAGCTCGTATTCTTTTTCAATATTTCGAAGCCTCTTTTCGAGCCTTTCGTCCAGACATTGCTTCATGTTTAAGTATTCGGGATGTGTCGGCGGCTCGGCTTGCAGTGAATGTTCTTCATGCTCGAGGCGCTCGAGGCGATCCTTATACAAACTGTGAAAACTGCGTTAGTCGCCGAGAAAGCTAACGCTTCTTCTCGGAAAGACTCACCGCTCGCGGAAGACGACAAATTTCTCTTCGAGATCGGTCCATTCCTCAACCGCAGCACGTTTTCTTTCAACTGTTGCATTTTGTCAGCAAGGCTTCGAAACATGGATGGGTCGCAAGCCACCTACATTCTTCGTCATTCCTGGTCGCCTCTGCCTCGTCGTCACCTTCGTGGTCAGCCTGGTCGTCGCCGTGAGGCCCCGAGTCGTCGTCACCACGACTATCGTCTCGGGCGTCGCCCTCGTGCCCTTCGTTCTCGTGAGCCTCGACAGCGTGACCTTTCCTTCTGCTCCCATTGCGGGTAACCTTTTTCGTGATTTGTGAATCCTTGATCGGGCTGTGACCATCGCGCGAAGGGCCACGCTTGCTGTGGGGAAGTTCCAAAACACTTTCCTCGGTCGCTGAGTGATCACCAGTATGTGAGTTTGTGGACGGGGCCTCGTCGTCATGCATTTCCACGTCAGTCTTGTGCTGATCCTGCTCCTGGGGCACGACGGAACCGGTGCGCTTCCTGGCGGGCTGGCCTGGCTCGGAAGATTCCGCGACCGGCGACCGCTTCCTTTTCTTGCTATCGGTATTCTCAGGGTCGTCTTCGGTGGTTGGGAGCTCGGTCGACTTCTTGGGCTTGGTGGGCGAGCCCAAGTCACCGTGACTAGAGGTCATTGACACGTCGTCGCGGTCGGAAAGACTGTCGTCGTCGCCATCGTCGTGGCCGTCGACAGAAAACGTCTTTTGAAGCTTGCTAGGAGTCCGTTCGTAGACCTGGCCGTCGTTGAACTGATTGACAACGACGTCCTTGTGGCGCTGTGCCTGCGGGGTGTCGTAGAGACGCTCAGTCTCCGCTTCGGTATCATTTGCCTCTGATAGATTGCTGTCAGAGTCAAGCGCCTCGTCATGGTCTGGCCGAGTGTGGTCGAGCTGCATTCCATCAAGAGATTCACCGCCGTCCTTGTCCTCGACGTCGCTCAGCGGGCTGGAGATGTTGCTATCGTCATGATCGAGCGTCGCCTGCCCTGGAGAGAGGGCAGGCGGCGCGGACGCCGTAGCTGCCATTGAAAAATTGAGTTGATACCGCGGTTTGGGATATCAAATCGGGTGTTTTGAAGATTGGTTGCGTCGTGGAGCAGTGCAATTCGGGTAGACGAGTTTTCGTGGGAACGAAGACGGGGCGCGGAGGGACAAGCACCAGCGGCAGCGACAGCGGTGGGTTGGAGGAGCGGGCGGGTCGCTGTCGTGAAGAGGGAAGCGAGTGCGTGCTAAAATCAAGGTTTGGAAGAAAGGAGTTGAAGAGAAGCATCAACGCGTGTGACTGTCCGGTCCCGAATGCAGAGGTGGGCGAGCGCAAAGTGGTGGTGTTGTGGTGGGTTTTCGGGGATGAGAGAGAAGCGTTAGTGACCTGCCGCTCCATGAGATGCGCTCACCTGCTCCCTCTCTCTCTGTGCTCTGTGCCTTTCTCCGGCCCCCCCCCCCCAGCGGAACCAGCATCGGTCGGCAGAACCAAGTCTTAGCAACGAGCGAAAGCGGTGAGAGCTGGCACAACAGCGGGCACGGGGCACTTGTCCTCGGCAAATAGCGGTCTTCTGACGTTTTGCACCAATCCACGGTTGTTCCGTTTCTTATCGGCGCACTCCACCTCCGAAATCTCTTATCGCGCTGGAGCGCAGGCCAAGTGGTACAGAGAGCTTGATTTTTTTTCTTGTCGCGGCAGCGACCTGGGGCGGATCGGTGCATCTACAGCAGACCCGTTGCAGAACATAGATACTCAGCAAAACAAGTCATATATCTGTCGCAACAATGGGGAAAAGGTGAGTTCACTCCCGATGTCATGGCACATTTTTAAGACTAATTGCTTTCTGAATAGTTCTAAACTTACGGCCTCAAGCAAGGCCATTGACCCCACTCTCGATGCCCTCTTCGCATCCAGTGTAAGTCGTTTTCTGCAAAAGTCGACCAATGCAGCCAAGAAAATTCTAACAAAATTCAGGCAGGACCTGTGAAGGCCCCAGAAAAGTCAAGGTACTCCGAAGCGCCTCCACCGAAGGCGAAGGCTGCTCCAGAGGCTTCCGACGACGATGAGGAACTACCTGATGCCGACGACGAGGAGCTGTCTGAGCTTGGTAGCGATGAAGAGATTGACCTCGAGCATATCGCCGATTCAGAGGAGGAGGAAGTGTCAGAACCAGCTGCAAAGCCCAAGAAGGAGCGCAAGCGCAAGAGAGTAGAGGACGACATCGAGGGCAAATACCTGAGCAAGCTCGCCGAGGCAGAGGAGAGGGAGATCCATGCTGAGAAGCGCAGCAAGAAGGAGTCCAAGGATACGGAAGAGGACGAAGAGGCTGCCTCAGAAACATCCTCCGAGGGCGAGAGTGCGGGTGAAGGCGAGGAGGATGAGGAGGAGGAAGAGGAAGAAGAAGAAGAGCAGGAGGAGTCTGACGATGACGCCGTCCCCGTCCACGAATCCGTCGCAGCCGAGAGCAAGGCCAAGACAAAGGACACGGAGCTCGAAAAGGCAAGCCGCACAGTCTTCCTCTCCAACGTCGCCTCCGAAGCCATCGACAACAAGACGGCCAAGCGCACCCTCGAAGCCCACCTCACCAGCGTCCTCGACAAGGACGCCAAGCCCCCGCAAAAGATCGAGTCCATCCGCTTCCGCTCCATCGCCTTCTCCGGCGGCGGCCTCCCCAAGCGCGCAGCCTACATCACGAAGTCCCTCATGAACGAGACGACCAAGTCCGCAAACGCCTACGTCGTCTTCTCCACGCCCGCCGCCGCGCGCAAGGTCTGCGCCGAGCTCAACGGCACCATCGTCCTCGACCGCCACCTGCGCGTCGACAGCGTCGCTCACCCCGCTCCGACGGACCACCGCCGCTGCGTCTTCGTCGGCAACCTCGGCTTCATCGACGACGAGACCATCCTCGCCACCAACGAGGAGGGCGAGACGGTGCAGAAGAAGCGCACCAAAGTGCCGGCCGACATTGAGGAGGGCCTCTGGAGGACGTTTGGCAAGCACGCCGGCAAGGTCGAGAATGTGCGCGTCGTTCGCGATCCCAAGACGAGAGTGGGCAAGGGTTTCGCCTACGTCCAGTTCTACGTAAGTTGCCTTCAAATATTGCGACGTAGTGGGAGAAACATTGCTAACCAAATATCCACAGGACGGTAACCACGTAGAATCAGCCCTCCTTCTAGACGGCAAGAAGTACCCCCCGATGCTCCCCCGCATCATGCGCGTAACCCGCGCAAAGGCCCCCCACAAGACTGCCCTCGCCATGGAGCGCACCAACAAGGCCAGAGCCGCCCAAGCAGACGCTTCACGCGGAGCCCCGGGCAGCACAAAGTACAAGGCCAAGATCACCCCCGAGCAACAGTCCCTCGCCGGCCGCTCCAGCCGTCTCCTGGGCCGTCAAGGAGCCCGCCGCGAGCAGCGCAGAGGCCGAGAATTTGAAGATAGGAAGCCGCGCGCCCCTGGCAATGGCTCCGGCGCCATCCCCAAGGATGAGATGAAGAAGCCCGAGGACTTTATTTTTGAAGGCCGCCGCGCCAGTGCCAAGGACGGCAGGCCAAAGGATCTCAAGTTCAACAAGCGGAGTAAGCCCCTGAACAAGGGCGGCGTCAAGAAGAGCAAGCCTACGGGCCGTGGTGCCAAGAGAGCCGCGGAGTGGAAGAAGAAGCAAAAATGAATCTAACAATTTGCGGAGGGGGTGGGGTGACCTACTTGTACTGAGGTAGTTGCATGAAATACCAAAAGTAGACGGATGGAAGCGTCGGGAAAAGGCGTACAAAATAATGAACATTATACAAAGCACATTGATACATCTGTGACTTACAGAGCAACCCTCGATTCCCACATCAAGTATTGTTTTGCTACCAATAGCACATATGTACGTTACACTGTGCAATCACAGCACCGAATCACAACATGCAAATTAATTTGGAAGAATACGTCGATTTACAAGTGACTAGTTTCAATTCCCCAAGAGGCTCTCGTCAGACAAGTCAGGAGGTACCACGTATATACTTGTGAAAGAAGAAAGTGACTTGGTCTCATCTATTATGACTCGAGCTTGACGCCGAAATATCCATTCGTTGGGTTATGGGTTAATCCAGTGCCTTGTGCGTCCATGTCCGTCCGGCGAGAACGAGAACGAGAACAAAAGTCTTCCGAACCGACATCCCGACGGCCGCCAAAAGGACAAACTTTTTTTCATGCAATTCGTTTTTCGCCCAAGGCTGCCGGGTTCGTCATTGTTCGTTGCAGCAACCGATATACCGCGAAACAAAAAAACGGAACGGTCTCCGATGTCGGCTTAGTACTCGGCATCGTCCTCCTCGCCCTCGTACGAGTCGGCAGCAACCTCCTCGTAATCCTTCTCAAGTGCAGCAAGATCCTCCCGGGCCTCGCTGAACTCACCCTCCTCCATACCCTCACCGACGTACCAGTGGACGAAGGCACGCTTGCTGTACATGAGATCGAACTTGTGGTCCAGTCTCGACCAGGCCTCGGCGATGGCGGTGGTGTTGGACAACATGGAGACGGAGCGGTCGACAGAGGCAAGACCACCATCGCCAGCGGCGGCGGGAACGGCCATGGGCTTCTGGTAGTTGATTCCGAGCTTGAAACCGGTAGGGCACCACTCGACCAGGTTGAATGAGGACTTGGCCTTGAGGGCAGCAATGGCGGCGTTGCAGTCGCGGGGGACGACGTCGCCACGGTACAGAAGGGCAACAGCCATGTACTTTCCGTTGCGGGGGTCGCAGACGACCATCTGGTTGTTGGGCTCGAAGCCTGTGATGGATTAGCGCTCGTTCGTATTCACATTTTGCTGGCAGACGATGAAGACATACACTGGAAGGTGAGCTCCTGGACCTTGAAACTCTCGTGGGAGCTCTTGTTGGCAGAGATGACGGGAGCGTAGCTGATCAAGGGGTAGTGAATACGAGGGTAGGGGACCAAGTTGGTCTGGAACTCGTTGAGATCGACGTTGAGGGCACCATCGAAACGGAGGGAGGAGGTGATGGAGGAGACAACCTGGGCGATCAGGCGGTTGAGGTGCTCGTAACCGGGACGGGGAATGTCGAGGTTGCGGCGGCAGATGTCGTAGACAGCCTCGTTGTCGACGAGGAAAGTGCAGTCCGAGTTCTCAATGGTGCTGTGGGTAGACAGGACGGCGTTGTAGGGCTCAACGACGGCAGTCGAGACGCGAGGGGCGGGGTAGACGGCGAACTCAAGCTTCGACTTCTTGCCGTACTCTGTGGAGAGGCGCTCGAGGAGGAGGGCACCGAATCCAGAACCGGTACCACCGCCGAAGGAGTGGAAGATCAGGAAACCCTGGAGGGAGTGGCAGTTGTCTATAGGAGGTATTGGTCAGTTTCAACGTGGCCAGCGGGCCGAAAGGCATCAAAAGGGGTACGGACCAGCGACGCGGCGAACACGGTCAATGACATTGTCGACCATCTCCTTGCCGATGGTGTAGTGACCACGAGCGTAGTTGTTGGCAGCATCCTCCTTGCCGCTGATCAACAGCTCAGGGTGGAAGAGCTGACGGTAGCCGCCAGTTCGGATCTCGTCGATGGGAGAGGGGTCGAGATCGACGAAGAGGGAGCGAGGAACGTATTTTCCTCCGCTCGTCTCGGTGAAGAAGGTCTCGTAGGAACCGCCATCGACGACGTCCTTGGCGTTGGGGTCAGGACGACCATCTGAGCCGAGGCCGTGCTCGAGGAGGTAGCTGCGCGTTGGGCGGTCAGTTTCACCGGATTTCGCGTTTGGATCGGGAGGATATGAGATTGGAGGGCAACGTACAGCTCCCAAGCAGAGTTACCCAGCTGGGTACCGGCCTGACCGAGATGAAGGTGAAGAATCTAGAGATATCGCCGTCAGTATTGGGGCCGCACACCGAGGTCAGGATGGATGGGACAGCTAGGTAAGGTAGGCTAGATTTCAGGGGTCGCCTCGGTACGGGAAAATGGGGGAGAGTAGCGAGCAGCCAGCAAGCAACCCACGATCCCGCGGGAAGCTGTGATATGGAGGATTTGGAGTAGAGATCAGAAGATAAAAGAAGAATGAATGACATTGAACATACCTCGCCCTTCATTGTGTAATGTGGCTCAATGAAACTTGGGAATAGCTGCGACGCAAAGTGGAATGGGGAAAGGGAATATTTTCACGCGCGCAGCGCAGAGTTGAGGTTCGGAAGAGCTAGGGGGGGAGGAAGGTGTTGGTGATGGTTTTCAGAGGTTTGGAGTGGAGGGTCACTTGTTGTGGGCAAGGCGGGGCACAATCAACAAGGCCGACCAGTGGCGCGATAGGCTTCAAGGCAAAGGGTATTCCCCCCCCTTCTTCACTGGGCTTAGCGCCTGCCTTTCACTGCTAGCTTTAGTGCTCTAACAGCTGTTGGTGTGTTGGGTTTCCAGTACCAAGATGATTGCGGGGGTCCTCTGAGCCAATCAAGTACCGGTGACACTCTCACCGCTACATGGCCCAAGCGTTTTTCCCTTTTGTCTATTGGACGACGTCCAGGGGTGCATGAAGATACCCGCACACTGCCACCTGCCATCACCATTTACCGGCCCTTCACACGGCAACAGCTGCGATATACGACGGGATATCAAGCTCAGAAATATTCTTTCCTTCTTCACCTGGCTATCAAGGCAGAAACAGACATATTTAAGGCTTCAATTGCATTCAGTATCCTCACCGCTCACTCATCAGCTGCCACATCTTCTCTTCCTTCTTGACACAAATGGTCTGTGCGGGGAATCCGGGGTCCAAGGCATTGACTTTCGGGAACAGCAGGCGAAGATCTTGCCAGATTCGTAGTGCCTTTGATGAGAAAAAAATCTGAGAGCACTTTGGGAAGGCTGGTGGTTCAACAACTTTGAGGCTCTAGCACGGCTATACCCTGGATTCTTCTTCTCTAATCCAAACAGCCAAGTTGACTCGACGTTGTTCGAAGGCATATCCTCGTAGTCGGTGACATCCGAGCGATCTTCAGAGGGGCCGAGCCAGATCCGGCCCCACTCTCCGCTTCCGTTTGTCGTCCGACGTCAACAACTTCTCCTTGTCCAAGGTAGCCCTACAACAATTTAGACGACAAGGCGGATCAAAGAACTCAAGTTCAAAGTAATCACTAGATTGTCAAGGGTAGTCAAGTTCATCACAGCTCAAAGAATAACTCTTCTGGTAGGAACGGGTTGGTTCCCGAATTGCCCACTCCAAGGTAGAGACTAACTTAGCCTCGAGCAAGGATACGCAGTTGAGGGCAATATTACCTTATAGTTCATGGGTTAGGTGTCAAAACTGCTTTAAGCTAGCTGCGACTTGACATAATCCATCTCGTTGTGTTACATTCTTCAAGTTACGAGGACAATGGTTTAGAGGCGCATGTTCATAGCGTACTCGTTTCCACCTTCAAGGGAGTGGTAAATGGCAAGATTCATGGTTTCACAAACATCCTTCCTAGGCAAATTTGTACAACCTTGATCCTATCAAGTTCAGTTTCATCTTGTGCTTTACGGCATTTCCTTTTTCCTTCAACGCCACGTCAATGTTCCTCCTTCTAAACGGTCACAGCTTGTTCTGCTATCTGTTCCTGACCCTTCGGCAACGTGAGAGTATCTTCCATCAACGACTTTGAGGCAGCCTAGACTGCGTGCCTATTGGCAGTAGCCAGCTGGGGTCGGGGAGGGATCACCTAGTTGATCGTGACAGAGCTTCTGCTAGTAGAATCTAATTTCGACCTCATGTATAATTTTCTTACCTTTCTGCAGTGGTACCATATCACGTCCAGACCCAGCCTTGAGAGATGCGAGACCCCTCACTACGCCTATCAATCTCTAATCTGCTATTATCGCCTGGAAAGAACGAGATTGGTCCTCATTTCTTGTGACTTTAGTAGACAGAATATCAACCATAGGAGCCACCAGTGCTAGATGCTTCTGAAGAGCTCCGGTCCATCGAAACTCTCTCGTCGCAGGCTACATGCCTTAGCTCCGCAGAAAACCAATTAGATGGGTCGAAAACAACGAAAGCCAGAGCCAGCATCTGCTGTATACTTGAGAAACAAATGCCTTCTATGCCAAAGTGGCAAGACTAGCCCTTGGAAGAAAGTGGAAGTGGAAAGCGAAAAGAGTCCCATTACCTTTCTTAAATGGCAATTGCGACAGATCCTAGCACCCTTGTCAGATGCTGTCTGCTGTCCAGCTTGAACTACCCCACGTCTAGACTTGTGATATCCATCGTTCTCGACCAAAGTCCCTTTAAAGACCGTAGTTGGTTTTAGAATGATCTCTTAAATCTCAACGAAGGGGGCACACCTGAACCGGGTCATTCTCGGCTCTTGCCATCTCATGGGTCTTACATGCCGCAATGCCGTATCCCCTCATCAATACTGCACGTCCCGTAAAATGCATGCAACTCTCACCACCTAATCAAATGCTACATAAAACGGGCGCTAAGCTGCCGGTAGCGGGGCCGACATAATACGATATCGAATGACACAAGAGCTATTTCCATCACATTTTAGACCTTGTGGACGAATGTTAAAAAACCCCGGTAGATCGACATCTTCAAGGCCGCCATAGGTAACTGCGGTACGACGTGGTGCTGACACCTCCATATAAGCGTGACAATCACAACTGAACTCCGTAAACTTTGGAGGATACGGCAAAAGTGTGAAAATGATACAAAATATCCTTCTTCTCTCGCGAGACCGCGACTTTCAGGTGGTGAAAATCCAAGATCCCGACGTAGAACAGCTCAACATCCAGCGACGTCAAGAGACAAACCGCCCAACATGGCCATCCCGAACCTCACATGCCTCGACCTCTCCCCCCTCCAATACACCGCCCTCTTCCTCGCCCTCCTAACCCTCTACTACACCCTCACCTCCCTCCTCACATGGCACCGCCTCCGCCACATCCCAGCCTACTCCCCCTTATCCACCTTCTCCTACCTCCCACTCTTCCTCATCGCCCGCTCCGCCCGCCAAGAAGAAATCTACCGCGCCCTCAACACCTCCCGCCTCGTCCGCGTCGGCCCCAACGAGCTCCTCACAGACGACCCCGCCGTCCTCCGCCGCATCAACGCCGTCCGCAGCGACTACGGTAAAGACTCGTGGTACTTCTCCAGCCGGTTCAACCCCTACCAGGAGACCATGTTCACCACGCTCGACAAAGGGGAACATGATCGGATGAAGGCTAAGACGGCGGCGGCGTATGCGGGGCGGGAGGTGGATTTGCTGGAGCCGAGCGTTGATGTGCAGGTTGTGAGTTTGGTCAGGCTTTTGAGGGAGAGGTATGCGTATGATGGGGGTGTCAGTGGCGGTGGTGATGGGGGACGAGGAGGAAGAGGAAAGTTGGTGGACATGGGAGTCTTGCCGGCGTATCTTACCATGGATGTGATCACCGCCGCCGCGTTCGGGAAGCCGTTTGGGCACTTGGAGGCTGATGCGGATGTGTTTGGGTTTATCAAGCAGATGAGGGATAATTGGCCGTTGATCGCGATCACGTTGGATACCCCGTGGATCCGGACGATTCGGTTTTCAAAGTTGTTTCTGAGGTGGCTTGGGCCAAGGACGACTGATGAGATTGGGCTTGGGCAGATGATGGGGTGAGGATCGTCTCTCATCGCGGAAGCCGTTCATACCATAGGAGTTGCGACTAACGGGGTGATAGGATTGCTGAAAAGTACGTCGGAGAGAGGTTCAAATCCACCTCGAAGCCTCAGAAGGATATGTTGGTACGTCCATCTACATTTTACGAACTCTGCTTTTTGCCCTAGGAGATGGTACTGACGAATTCGACCAGGGATCTTGGATCAAGAACGGCATGACGCAGCAAGAATGCGAAGCCGAAGGCCTCTTCGCTCTCGTCGCCGGCTCGGACACTACCGCCTCCGTGATCCGTGTCACAATGCTGCATCTAATGTGCAACCCCAGGATCTACCACAAATTCAAGGCCGTCATTCGGGACGCCGTCGCCTCTGGTGTCTCGACTCCGATTACCTTTGACCAAGCCAGCAAGATCCTGTTCCTACGCGTGCGTATCACCCCCTATCCCCCCTCCCCCTCTCCCATCCAACATGCGATACATACTTAGTACATGACGATACTAAAACCTTACAGGCCCTAATCTACGAAGGCATCCGAATCCGAGCCCCAGCAACAGGCCTCTACCCCAAAACCGTCCCGCCCCAAGGCGACACCGTCGACGGCAAGTTCATCCCGGGCGGCACCGCCATCGGCATGAACGCTCCCGGCCTCCTCAAATCCCCCTTGCTCTTCGGCCCCGACGCGGAACTCTTCCGGCCGGAGCGGTTTCTCGAGGTCGACGACGACGCGGCCAGGCTGAGCATGGAGCGCGACGTGGAGATGGCGTTTGGGTACGGACGGTATATGTGTGCGGGTAAACCGGTGGCGTTTATGGAGCTGTATAAGGCTTTCTTCGAGGTAAGTTCACAGTGACTAGACTAGGGCTGTCATCGACTAGGGATACGGAATGCTGACGTTTGCGCGGTTAGCTTATGCGCAACTTTGATTTTGAGCTTGCGGATCCGGTGAGGCCGTGGGATTCGTATAGTTATAACATCTTTGTGGAGGAGAACATGTGGACCAAGGTGACCATTTCGGAAATCAAGTAGGAGTTTATCGCTGCGTACGTCGTTTGACAGATGAGAGTTGCATTCCCTCTTAGACACTCGGTTTGATCATCGATTTTCCCTTCTCCTAGAATGTAACAAGCGAGAGGCAACAGTTCGATGTGCTTAGTAGGCCTAGTTCTGGTAGCCATTGACGAGTCTCCAGAATAAATGAATCTGGATACGTTCCGTCGTAACTCCATACCGAGATGTTCTGGTTTAAATTGCTCAACCAATCGAAATGGTGCCTGAATTTGACTTTCAATGGACAGCCTCGCCTGTGCCATCAACCTGCATGACGCTTGTGAATGTCGACTATCCACATATGTGTGTTTGCTGGTCTAACCAAGAGCATGAAGATTGAGGTGATCCAAAAATAACAAGCCCGGCCCGCGTGGTCGGGACTGAACGCGATCCTTCCGATCTTCACGTCCCTACTTTCTTCCTTCCTTGACCTAC